CATAGCGCGAACGGAAGATTGAAATTGAAATGATTACGGTTTGATAAGCTTACGGACCTACATTACAATTTTAAAAAACAACTTCTGGATGATGTACGCTTCTCTATAATTATTCAAAATCTTGTTTGTATTCAATTCAATATGAACCACAAAACAACACATATAAGCAATTTGTCTTGATAGTTTTTGTTCTAACAGTCGGTTCGCGTAGAAAACGGCGGCCGTCGACCGGGCCAGTGACCCTATGGCGCCGTGCGGCATACCATCCCTGGTATAAAAATAACCTCTTATATCGATAGACTATGTATCTATATGATATATCCTGCGTACACGCATATTCCATTTACTTCAGAACTTGAAACATGGCACAGAGAAATTTGCGTACGACGTTGAAATCGTAATGGAGAACGCGTGCGGTAAAGTCACGATCCAGTTTTGTGCTCACTGGAATATTTACTCGACAATGTATGTCAGATGTACGTAGATAATACATAGTTAAACAATTCTAAGCCAATTGTTATCAATTGCCGTGACCTTAAAATCTCAGATTTATGAAGGTATATTGTTTTATTCTTATGTAATGTTTAAAAGTCATTTTCTTTTTCCGGCCACTGGTTATTTAGGTTTGTAGTTTTGTACAAGAATACCCCTTAAGATTGGGCAAAATTATAGAACCATTGAAACTATTTAATCTGACCTAATAATGGTCTTAACTACAGTACTGTAAATGTTTAAAATTATTGAAAGTGTCACTAAAAATATCGGCTAGACCTGAGTGATACAGACTCCATAAAATAAAAATTAGAATAATAAAATGATTTTTGTCAACTAGTACGGTGGGAGGAGTAGGTAAGACGCTATTCAGACAGAGATTTCGAGGATTTCTTGCGTTGCGTATGTATGGATGTGCAGGTAAAATCAAACGCCCTGTTTGTAAAATTTGGTTGTATTGTTGTTGGGTTGTTGTTGGGTTTATCGACCTGACAAAATCATGAGTAGAATTAAACAAACCTTCAAGCATAGTCCTTTTCAGTCGCGGCCTTTCAAAACTAATTGAAGTATAGTTCTACTAAGTTCTTCTAATTTAATAAATATAAAACGTTTGTAATGTAGGTACTGCTTAACACAAGCATATACGTGTTGTGGTCTAACGAAGACAGGTAAAATTACAGAGCAGATTTATCGTCATCAACAGCCTTTAACAGGCCACTGCTGGATATAAGCCTCTCCTTAGAAAGGAGGTTTTATCCTACTATACCACGCTGGATAGACGGGTTGCTATAGGGTTTGTGTCAAGTTTTCCTTGTCTCTGCACTGTTGTTGTTCTGCGTAGTTTTCTCCCTTAGTCGGAGAGAGAGTCATCCCTACGAGACCCACGGGAAGAATAGAGGGGTGGTGACACTCTGTATTCTTAATCCGTCACCACACGGAGACGTAGTAGATTACTAATCCGTATTAACGTAAAGAAGCTCCTCGCGTCGATTACTTAGTATAGATATATTTACAACTTCGTTATATCAAGGGCCATTGGTATTTTAAGGGTGTGACACCAGTTCTTCCACAATTTGCCCAACAAAACCCTCTAACTACAGAAGAAGAAGAGCTGACAAAAAGATCATTCTTTTAGCGTTTCACCTGTTTCTTTAAAGTGACATCACGAGTAATGTTGTCATCTTCACCAATTCCTTTGAATGTACTAATGAGTGTAATGCCGCACTTACGACCTTTAGATTTGTCACGCCAACGTGTTAAAATCTCATGTGCAATTACGAGGACACATTTTGTCACTAAGTGGGTGCGCCCGCGCACATTGTGTTAATGACTTTTGATTTCACAAAACCTTCACTTACGCGTATTTATTATTTACTAAAAGATCAACACGATTGAACGTTAATAAACTTGTTACTCTCTGTTTTCGTTCATTTACGGATGATTCTTCCCGTCAGAAACATTTTACTAATCAAAGAGTAATATTTAACCACATTCACAGAAAGCCATCCAGTCCCAAGCTAAGCAGAGCTTTTACAATGGGTACTAGACAACTAATACAAACACATACATACTTTTTTTTGTAAATCAATACATATTATACATAGAAACATTCAGACCAAATCAAACATTAAAATGTTCCTGCACACAAATGTCTGACTTGAGCGGGAAGAAAGCTAAAAGTCCGTTACACAAACCACTACACTATCCGGTCGCCTAATTATATGAAAAGCGGTGTTAATTTTCACCGAGTAGAACCCAAAGCCTTCTCCTCCTGATTCTGGGGGAGGGGGGGGGGTTGAAGGGGGGGCAACGTACTTGTGACTCATGTGTCTATAGGCGGCGGTAGTCACTTGGCATTAAGTGACCCCCGTCAATTAAATAAAAAAATAAATTAAAACTTTATTTTGTAAAAACACAGCATACAACTAATGTTGAAAGGAAAAAAAGAACTTAGAATATATCCATACTAATATTATAAACGCGAAAGTGTATCTGTCTGTCTGTCTGTTACTTCTTCACGCTTAAACCGCTAAACGCTTAAACCGAAACGTATAAAGAAATTTTGAGTCCCGGTAAACGACCTAGGATTTTTTTACTACCAGAAATCATCCTTTAATTTGTTTCGGAGTTTGGGTGTTCTCTATGTAAAATATGTATGTTGTTAATCTAGCATTCATAAACAAGCTCTGCTTAGTTTTAAACTAGATGGCGATGTCGTTACTAAAGATGTATAAACACGAACATTTTCTGGAAGAGTTATTACCTCCAACTCCCACTCCCTCACTCTTGGTGATGGTTACTACCAACTGAATATGTTTTCTGATAAACAAAAATCCTGCACTGCCTCTACCTCTTACGTATATTTTTCTATAACACATTCGTGTCTCAATCGTCTCTGATGGCGAGACAGGCCCAAGACCGGCATTTTTGTAAGAAGAGACTCTAAAGAATTTTGTTTAAGAATCCTTAGTCATCCTACGATTAAGATCGTTTGATCACGATCATATCTCGCCCACGTACCTTGCAGCTTTCCAAGGTACGTGGGCGAGATATCCCTTTGTATGATAATTTATTAGTAATTTCATAGTGGTGAGACGACCTTGTGAGGAAGCTTTGTAATGACAAACTCATCGCGTATACGAATTCTACTGACGAACGAAGGCGGGTAAATATTAAAAAGTTCAAATTTTGTAATGAATACATTTTCGTCAATTAGGGTAAAAACAATTCTCTCGTTTGGTAACATGATTGCGGCCATGGTACGGAGCCATAGTGAGTGGAACTCCTCCGTCTCTTTCTGCGAGCAAGTTATGCTTGCGAAGGAGAAGGCGGCGTACCGTGCCGGAGGTCGCAGAACGACCTCCATCCTTCATAAGCGCAGGCCTAGGGGTAACAGGTGAGGTCATCTGTCACCCTATCAGAAGCAGGCCGGTGTGGCGGTGAGACGCGCTGCGGATCGCGCGAGCCCTTTCGAGAGCACAACGGGTACATGGGGGATAGATGACCCCCTCCTGTGTGGGAAACACAGGAGGGGGTCATCTATCCGCCGTAGATGGCCCGAGGTACGCCAGGATAATAATATAATAAAAAAAAAGTGTATATTTAAAAATGTAAATAATATGTATATAAAGTAAATAAAGAGAATAATAATAATAATATATAATAATACCGGTGGGTGGTATCCGAGGGGATCCGTACAGAAAAAAAAAGGGTAAAACAATTGGTAAAGAAGTGAAGTAACCCAAAAATGTATTATTCACACTGGTAGCACACAACCTGCTTGCAGTGATAGCAAATAACTATTTCTAATAACACAAAGTTCCCTTTAACAGAACTGAACCTACCAACGGATAGTCAATTTTATAGATGTAAGTTTTGTCTGCTTGAATATTGAAAAGGCCGAATATCACATAACGTTATTAACGCTATTCTTGATATGGAAATTGGATATATATTTGCGTTAACCAATATGCACGATGAAAATTACGATGCAACTTCTTATTCAACCGCTAACAAGACCGCTGCAATAACCTGGCATTAGTGCGGTCGACTTTGCTCACATGATTACTAAAGGTAGGCCACGATACAGCAGTACCTACCTAGTCTTTTTTTCTCAAGTTTTGTTGAAAAACGTACCTTGTTAAGAACGGATGGCCACTCGTCTTTCAAAATATCAACTTCAACTTTTGGTTAATGGCTTTGTATTTGAAAGACAAACTGTCAAAGGATTTTATGTGGAGCTGTGGTTTTAAAAATATCAAGGTTAAGTAATAATAAGTATCAACGTCACTGACAGGACCATAGTTGCCAAAAAGTATAAATTAGTCGTGATCACAGATCCCGTAAACCATCTCAAAAAAAACTCAACTAAATGTTTGTATGATCTGCAAATATTTGTTTCGGAGTTTTCTATGTAAAGTAGTAAGTATGTAAGTCAATCTAGCTTTCATAGTACAAGGCTCGGCTTAGTTTTAAACTAGATGATGATAAATTTCTAAAGATGTACATTTCTACACTTACATAATACAGACTGTGTACTTGTACAAATTCAAAAATATTTATATTGCTATATGACAACCCGCTATAACCCTTAGAAGCGCAGCATTAACCACATATAAGGATGAAACTTTGACTGTTGGTGCTCATCACACAATAATATCGATTGGATGGGAATCGAATCACCGTGGTCAGGGACACCAATCGCTAGCTACGAATTAGATTCAGCAACACACAATTGTACACAATGAGAGTTTTATAACTGACCAATTAACAAAGTTAGATTTAAAGATTACATTGATATTTTGAAAATATTGCTAGTCATATATACATAATGACAGATTAGTCATATAGGTAGTATCTAATAAAATAGTAATCATAAGTTACGCAAAGCATATCTTCCAAACTATATAGCTCTTCATCGCATAGCTTATTCGTAGACAATATGCGAATAGACATCAGCTCATTACTCAATGACAAAGGCCGATAATAAAAACCATGTAATTATCATAATGCAAGCAGCACGCAATGTCTTAGAACCGGTAGTGCGAGTGTACTGTCACATTAGACATCATGCGATCATCGATGTAGGTGAGGGTCTTCGACTTCCGAAGCAATAATGAGATAGATACATGCTACTACTATATGCTAGGTTAATTATAGCCCCATCTGCCTCTTTTAATTAGGTAATGGTATAATATTATCTGACTACGAGTATTACTGTTAATAAAGATACAAACAGTTTTAATTGCATGTGTATTTCAGTTATGCCCGACTAACTTCGAATCCAACGCGCACCATTTTTGTTATATAGTTATTTGAAACTTGAAGTAGTTTAGTGTAATAAATGATGGTTCACGTCGTTTCAATTAACTAGAGTATTGTAATTATGAATACAATAGAGAGCTGTCCCACGCTATGTTAATGATTCTATTAATCTTCCGTGGATAAACTGGATCTCTAGTTCAAGGTGTCTATTTATAACTTTTTTGACACCTGCAACTCTAAAATCCGGAAATGTTAGATATGTAAACCGGAATTTAATTACAGACTTATTGGTATGTCTAAGTTAGCTGTAATAAAAAACATTTATGTACAGAATTCAAATGATAGCCGTGGGAGACGCTTCCTCCACGTGGTCAAACTGGGTAGTCAAACTAATTTGTCCAATAGGAATAATTTTGCCAGATGGTCAAACTTCTCGGATATTAGACTCTTGTTATAATTATCATATACAATTGAGTATAGTGATGATTAAGTTCTGTTTTATAATATAATTAATTTTATGCTTGACTGTATAAAAGATTTGACTATCTGGAAAAATGATTCCTGTTGGACAAATTAGTTTGACTACCCAGTTTGTAACGTGGAGGAAGGGGTGGGAGAACCATACCAACCAATGGGCCAGCTCGACCGGAGTGATATCACGAAGTCACAGAAAACCTGTGTGGAATAAATCTTCCATTCCTTATAATTTGAAAACATATTACGTTTTTTAAGGAAATAATTTATTTATTTTTCCAAATATGGCAATTTTTTGATATCACAACGGATGAGCCACTGCCATTCCATCGCCACTGTGAAGACACTGAGTAAGTGTAGACTACCGATATTTATACCGATGACAATGGCCACTCAATGGCATCGGTATACTCATCGGCCACTCAATAGCGTGTCAGTGGGATGACAGTGGCCTGGCGTGAACATAAAATAGCAGAATTTAGGCCCTTGTTTTGCTCCCCTTTATTCTGGAGGAGGAGACACTCAAACGGTGGCAATACACTTGTCTATCTTATGTTATACTAGCTGGTACCTGCGATTTCGTTCGCGTGGAATTTGAATTGAAAATGATTTTTCAATTTGCAGAATTCATGAAAAATAAATGGTGTAGTACGGTACGCGACTGCAGTCCATGAGGCCTCGGGTTTGATTCTCGGACAGGGCAAAATTTTATAGGGTTTTTCTAAGAGGAAAAATAGCCTAAGTTACTCCTCAATTAGACAGCTACCTGGTAGTAAAATATTATCAAAATATAGTTTTAAAGATTACCCAGAACAAACAGACTAAATAACTGGTTTTTAGGCATAGGTATCGTGCAAATAACCGCATCAGCATGAAAAAAAAACAATTATTTTGACATTGCAAACAGACACTTCAATTTTATTTATTTATATAGATGTGTCTATGGGTGTTTGTTGATTTTGATAGAATAAATAAAGTTGTAAAGTCTTTGTATGATAATTTAATAGGAATTTCACATTGGTGACACGACATTTACGCATCGGTAAGTGAGTGCTTTGAAAAGACAAACCCATCGTGAATGCGAACTGTGTCTATATAGGCGTGTTAGCTGTCAACGAACTTAGGCGTAAGATATTTAATAAATAAAAATACCTCAACAAATTAAATTACTGATCTGGTTAATGCAGTCATGTCGACAATGAGATGGTGAGATTCATTTACACGTCCGGTAGGTAGACACCGTCAGCAGTCAGTCAACCGCCGCTAGCTGCATGTGACGCAACGCGGCCTTTGGTTCGACATGTCATCCGCCAGACGAGTGTTGTCTGATAGGATATGGCCAATGCCGATTGTCGAAATTATATGCAACATGTTTACTGTCACCGTATGCTAAGAATTAGTGTCATTGAAGCAATAGGTATTATCATTCTAATGCTAATGAAATTTCATTATCTAAGCAAGGAGGTATTTGTGAAGGGGATTATTCAGAACTTAACTACTAGCATACATATATCTAGTGCATCAATCTATACCATTAGAGAGAGAGAAAATTACACTCCAAAAGTGAAAAGTAGGAAATATAGACGTTTAAGTGCAGTATGACATCATAACTCACTTTTTGATAAAAACTAATAAAGAACAAACCGATTTGACTTTATATATAAATAAAATAGAAAATGCATACGAATACAAAACGCAAAAAAAGAGAGAGATACAATGAATCAAGATTAAATTAAATTTAAAACTAAAGAAACAAATATTACGTATTTAATTTTAAATGATTTACTTTTTTTATTTCCCTACGGTATTAATGATTACTAAACGAAACTACACTTCAAACAGCAATGCAAAGAGTAGGAAAACTTGAGGCAAACCCTTTTTAACCCATCTGGCCTGCGTGTCATAGTAGGCCAAAACCTCCTTTCTAAGGAGAGGCCTATGTCTATCAGTGGACTATTAAAGGCTGTTGATTATTGATGATGATGTTTTGCAACGGGTTGGAGAGCCTTTTACGTACATTCAACATGTTTTAAATCCCAAACAATAAAAGTAAAATTTCTTTTCCTTTGTTGCAGATGAAGCATGAATACTAATGGCCATGTGCAAGTTCAAGATAATAGAACTGAACTCAAAACTGGAATGACCCTGGTAAAGAGAATTTATTATTAACACTCGACGCAAAAAGACAACACCCACCGGTGTTGCTGTAGTTTAGTAGGTTTTTGCATCTGTGTCTACCTATTATTCTTGTACGTATGAAGGCCTTCTCGACCCATTACCCTATTGGAGTATTCGGTGTGGTGGGGTGTTAGAAAAGAACCAACTAAAATCACATGAGATGTGGCATGCTGTGCTTAACCTGTATCTGCTTCTGCCTTTTTTTTTTTAACGTGTGGAATTCCCCTCGGACCGTCACCTCGCCGGGGCTCTCGTTCGGCGGGGCGGTGTGTCGGACTCGAACCGACAAAACCACACGGTGTGCCCTCTTTGCGCTTCCAGTTTAGGAGGGGTCCAGGTAGTTATCGGTATCTGCTTCTGCCTAGTCTAATCTACTAGATAAGGTTAAATATGACCAGTGTGTGAAAAAATGTCACGTTTTCAAATTAGAGTATGTACGAGTAAAACTATCATTATAAAACAATGGCGTTGTTTGTTGTCAGGTACAATAGAGGCTACAATGTCGCAGTCGGCGCTAGGCCTCGGTGGGGAGCGCCGGTACTCAGTGCCATCCCACCCGCTAATGCACGACCATCGGGGCATGCAGTCAGAGGATTTGCACGCGTGGTCCATTTACAGGTATACCCTTTATCAATCGTAAGTGTAAGGTACCTTATTTTCTTCTCTCTACCCTGTACTTGACAACATGCACCTTTATATTATTTCACGATGATCGAATAAGTCGTTGAGGATTCCTTACCCTGCACATATTCGGTAGTCGTGTTTGTATTTATAGTATTAGTACCTAAGTATTTATAAAGACAAAGTTTTACAGTATACTAGAGACTTACCATATTAAAAACAAATATAAGTTAGATATTGAAATAAAACCATAAATTAAAATACAAACAGTATCCCAAAATTATTAGCCATGGGGACCAAGCTACTGCGAATTTTGAACATTCTCCCCTAGGGAGAAACCACGCAGCCACATATTGAAGAGTACTGTCTTCTTATTAGTCCAACCGCCTGACTAATATTAATTTCCTTTGGTTCATGAAGTGTTTGAGATACGACGAATAAAATAAATATGTTTTATTCGAAAAACGCGATGTAGAGAACGGAATGCTACTCCTGTTACTAAATTAGCAAATTTGCTCCAAAGTTTTGCTTTTCAAAATTAGTTTTAAAGGTGAAGCTATACACCAACATGTTTTGTTAATTTTATTATCAGATTTTCCATCATAATTATGGTCCAAACGCATTTGATAAAAATCTTAACTTCCTACAATACATGTACTTTATACATTTATTGTAGGAAGTTAACGCCATTGATTCTAATTTCAAAACGTTTGAAGGTCTAACCTTGAGAATAAATAGTTAATAGTTTACAATTACACAACTCAAAATAATAATATAATTCAAAAAACTCCAAAGAAATTTCCTACACCCCTAAAGGGCTTGTCTGAAGTGTATGAACGCTCACATTGCACCCCATTTTAGTCCCACTTACTTAATACGGGCAAGCTTTGCTCTGAACCAGGAACTTAAGGGATAGAATAATTCCACCAAATACTTCATATAAAATGTTACCAAGACGTGACCGTAATGGCTCGCACTATCAAGAAGTTATCAGAAAGCAAATTCTCGTAATAAAAGTTCGGTCAAAATACAGTTCAGTTTTGACTCAACTTTATTACGAGAATTGGCCTTCAGATCTCATGTAGTGCCAAACTTCTAACTCTACGCGCATTAACTCAACAAGCCCTGACTTCACCAACTCCACACTTTAGTGAAAATATGTGGCTTGGCCCTTTTGTTACTACAAGAAATATCGTATAACAGAAAAGTAATGAACAGCGAATACATTTTGCACCTTACGCCCGTGTGACTCTAGCGAAATATATTTTTGACCTTACGCTCATAGGACGGTAGCGAAACCGTTTTGCACCCTAATAACCAAGTTATTAGGGGACAGATTAGAAGTATATTTAAAAGAAATTGCATAGATGAGATAGAGAGTCATGCTTCGTTAAAAAAGGGCTGGTTCAAGCAGTATGATACTACGACTTCCCAGAAAACCAGGTTTCAGCAATTCCTTCATTGCTTTTTACTGAGTGTGTGAGCTTACTGGAGACACAACCTCCCCTACGGCTAAATCTGGGGAATGAGCGCTCAAACAGCGGTAAGACTTGTGTCCACGGGAGTCATTTACCAACAGGTAACCCGTCTGCTCGTCAGTCCCCCATAACTTAAAAGCCAGGATGTGGTCGCATATGTGTAACTCGAACTGGCTAAGTAATGCCGGAAAGTCCGAACTCATTAAATACCAATTTTACTTTTTTCAGGCAAAATCTGAACTCTGATTTCACTGACAGCGCTCTTGGAAGTACTGATAAGAGTCCTCTCCCCTATGGTAACTTCCAGCTTCGAGATACTACCGTGCAGTCCATATTGGCACATCCTCGATATGGACCCAAGTGAGCGTTTTTATATACATTTATGAGTTTAACTAACCAATAAAATATAACACTTTTTAACGGTCCATACAGTTTTCCGGATTCCTCCTTATATTCTGACTCATTTAACGCAGACCATAGAAGCCCAAAGGCTTTGCATCATAGTTTATATAGTGTATTATATGTATATATATACATGTATGTAACTCAGCAAGTATATATGTATGTGTATCTCAGTATGTATATCTGTCACACTGTTTCTGTCCATATCTTTAATTACTATTATCTCGTTACATAAAAAACTTAATTTCTCGTGCACCTACTCTGACGTTTCCCCACCACCCAAAGGTAGACTGGGAGAAAATGTCTGTGGCATTAAGTCCGCCATTGTACAATGAATTGTTGTTTGTGCAAAAATAATAATATAAAAAAAAACAAGTAAAATAAATAATAGGAAAGAAACAGACTAAGGGTAGAGATTTGCGTGTTATAGACGTCTTTGGGAATATTTTTATTTTATTTATTTATTAATCAAGAATTTTAAACAAAACCTTACTTACAGTCATAACTTTCTATTGGACAAGGGATAATTAAATATATCACGAAATAAATAAAATATTTGGTAGAATTACCAGCTAGGTACTAAATCATTATTAAATTACATTGTTGTATTACCTAGCTTTCATAAAACAAGCTCTCCTTAGGTTGAAACTAGATGGCGTTGGTAAACAATTTATTTTTTCCGACAGATCAGCTCTTGGTTCGAACATGTACACGTACCTGAAATTTGGGTTGCCTCGAGTATTTCCACCGAACCATAACGGCTCGCAACGCTCCGGGACCCCAAAACCGAAGATTTCTATTGGAAGTGGCATGAAGCCTGCGTCCAGGTGAATATTAAGTATAAAGAAGCTACCTAAGGAAAATCAAAGGGTATATTGGATAATTATATACGAACACACCAGGATCAAGCAATAATCCAGCCTAATGAGTTCTTCCAAGTCTGTCCTCTGAAACAGAGAAATTATATATTTTCTTTCTAAGCATTATTTAAACTAGTTTTTGTTCAGGACAAAGTTTCCATCTTCTTTTAAAAATTGTAACTCATAAAATGCACTTCTGCTCAGGTATATAGACGGGCTCTAATCAATTTTATGTATAATTATGTCTTTCTCAGTAAAACCGTATTTTTCATATTTTCGTTAATCCTTAATTTTATATTCCATACGATTAATGTTCATCGTATAAATCTTGTAAATGGTACAAACTTCTTTCTCTTTTTTTAAAGGTCTGCTAGCAACCGAAATTACTAGTATTCCCGTTAACCCCTCCCGCTAAGCAAAATTGCTTGTGTTACGAGTGGGTTCACGTCGGTAGTGTACTGGTTAGGATTCAAACCCAGGACCTCTTGATCGCAAGTCCAATGCCTTAACCACTAGGCTACCGCCGCTTAGTAGTAAACTAGTACTGATTAATGCTGGTTTAATTATTTATTTAGCAATCTGATTAAATTTAGCGATTGTAAGTCATCAAATTAAACACATTGCAGTACAAAACAGCTTAGGCGCTTTTTCATCCCGGTCTTACAAGCGCTACTGAAGGTTGTGATATTTAAATATCTGTGACTAATATTTATGTAGAATCAAAAGAATTGTCGACTCAAAACATGACTTTCTTTTTTTTTTCAAAAAGACAACTCCCGTATTAGGAATATATCCTGTGTCGTGGGGGACTTTACAAACATGCATGAAACGGACACAAAGAACACCCAGACACAGAACAACAATTTGTGGATCACAGCGTAGTAGTGAGCGCCGTAGTGACCGCTTTAACCACTACGCCATCCGTGCAGTCAACCAGACTGGAGTAACCGTATTACTGGAATGCTTTACAGGATCCAACGACAAAGTCGAGGATTACGTGAGACGTCATCAGGCTACGACAGTTCTGACAACGAGACGACCACCAACTACAAAAACAGCCGCAAATATCGGTCCGACCCGGACTTCAGAATGCAGAACTTGCACCCTTCCTACCAGGTACTTTATTGGATTATCCGTTAATACTCGTAGTTGTTTCTCTCTGTAAGTCGTTAGTAATCATGATTATACTAGCTTAGACCCTCTCATTTTGGCTGACTATGTGTTAAGGAGTCTTAGAATACTTATCGTGTCAAACAATTGAAGTTACACACTTGTGCGCAAAATCTGTTGGTACATTCTGTTGGTATTGGAAATAGGTTTAAACTAAAAAGTTGACCTCTTTGCACTAACAACTGTTTTCAATAATCAATCTCAGGTTAAGGATAGATCGCTATCCTCGATTATCAGTAAGATATTATCTATCCACCGATCTGAACGCAGACGTGTTTTACAATAACATAACGGATAAGGTAGGCCAAAACCTCCTTTCTAAGGAGAGGCCGATGTCCAGTAGTGGACTAATAAAGACTGTTGATGGTAAAGGATAAGTACTGTTCTAGGGCAACAAGAGATGCCACCACTGCGATGGCCAGACCGTGGGCACGGCTCTCCACACGCTGACAGAGTGCCCGGCGTGGGTTGAGAGAGACCTCGTGGCGGCCATCGGAGTGGTAGTTCTCTCGCTCGATAGCCTGAGTGCGGCTATCGTGCGGAGCGAGAGTGCGTGGAACTCTGCCGTCTCCTTCTGCGAGCAAGTTATGCTCGCGAAGGAGACGGCGGAGCGGGACCGGGAGAGGTTTAGAACTCTCCCGGCCCGCCAGGCCCGGGAACGGGCTAGGTACCGCAGGCGACTCAGGTGCCGCAGGTCGCAGAACGATCTCCGTCCTCAATAAGCGCAGGCCTGGGGGTGACAGGTGAGGCCATCTGTCACCCTAGCAGAAGCAGGCCGGGGTTCCCCGGCTATTAATACCCGAGACGGCGTGCGGTTTTAGTCGGTTCGAGTCCGTGGTATCCGAGGGGAATTCCGCACGGAAAAAAAAAACAAAACAAAGGGCAACAAGAGATAAAAAAACTAACACTATTCTTTTAAGGTTGGTTATTTTTATTGCGGTTATTCTTTTATAGTATTTAGATAGTTTCTACATTTTGAAGTAACTACAATAATTCTACTATTATTAGTCGGATAAATTTGTTACATTAGTAGTAAATTATTTGCCATGTTCGTATCCATACTTAAATGTGTTCAGATCACGAACTAAATATTCTAACGTGAACCAAATTTATGGTTAAATTGCAATAATTTACCTACCGTTAGGTGGGATCATTTTTTCTTATTTGACGACGGCACTTTTTTTTTAATTTATATAAGCAACTTGGGACTTACTAGTTTCCTATCGTCGAATCATTTTTTCACTGTTGGGTTTGCACATTAAAAATAAAACAATGCTTAAATGGGACTAATCCCACCCACACGCCCACCACTGTAACTCCTGTACACCAGGATCCACAGCAGTGACCCACGAACACACCGAGATATGACACTCGGGAAGTCCCAGGAAGAAATTAAACTGTCTTGGAACCCGCAACGAACAATGCTTATATAACACGTTATTTAATGAGTACTAATAAATAGTTCAAACAGTAATAGAACTGTTATTACTGTTACAGCCGAACACAGGTGTACCCGTAGTGGCGATGCAGCAAGCAGGCATCCGGGGTGACGGGCATTGGACCAATGCCCGTCACAAGTCGGTCAGTGAGGCGAACCTGTTGGGCATAGACTCAAAGTCCCAACATCGCAATCATTCGCACTACAATAGAAGAAACAGTGTCGCTGACTACATACCCGATGGTGATCATCACAGGTTAGATGAACCATATTTACTTACTCTGCACCAAAATCTCCTTCAACCTTTTATTTTTAAAGCCCACACAGGAAAGGCAAACTGACTATTGTTAACAGAGATCTACTCACCAAGTCTTGCCGGTGCTTCATCATCATAATACGCATTAGTTATAGTATGTCCATAATTATATCTTATATATAAAATTCTCGTGTCACAATGTTCGTTCCCGTACTCCTCCGAAACGGCTTGGCCGATTCTTATGAAATTTTGTGTGCACATCGGGTAGTTCTGAGAATCGGCCAACATTTATTTTTCATTCCCCTAAATGGTAAGGGTGACCCATTCCTAATTTTTTTTTGTTTTGCAATACAACGTTTGCAACGGTCAGCTGGTAAGTATATAATATTATCTGTATTATTGACTCTTTTAACATGTTGTACCAGCCAAGGAGCACCGATTTGATCAGTAACATTATATTTCATAACAGCTAATACAAAGTATTTGTAATCTGTTAACTAACAAAATAATACCAGATTAATATCAAATTATGAAATCTAGCCTTCACCTTCAAAATAACGTGTAGCCGCAATAATAAAATAATAAAAAATATTTATTTCAGACATATACAGTCCATAGGTTGTTTAGTAATGGGTTAGAAACAGAATGTACTTAAAGTTTATATTAGTATTGTTAGTAACGACACTTAATAGTAGGAAGGCATTCAGCTATGCTTTCCTATTACTATTGCCACCCAGTGCCTTTGTATAGGATAGTCTGGCCTACTAGCAATAATCTTCAGGATGCTGTTCCGGGTATTACGTAAGCGCTGTAACAAGGAAGCCAATTTTTTACGCATGAGAGCATGAAAACCAATCCATAAAGCCTTGTAACGATTTGTTTTACTTCCAGCTATTTAATGTCACCGTCGCATTTAGGAGGTCGTATGTCGAAAGCTGGCAGTCACATGTCCATAGCACAATCCAGGAAACACTCCACTCTTCGACCTGGGGACCATCTGGACGGATATACGCATTCCGCGTATATATATCCAAACTATTACGTAAGTAATATATACTATATATACCTAACGTACGTACGTAATATGCGTATGTAACTATATTATTTTCACATCATTTTCATAAGAAAAAAAAATTAAATAAAAGAACATAAAAATATAATTACCTTAAAGCGCAATACAATATGGAAGGGGGCTTTTCCGGATACAAAAAAAAATTATGTCCCATACAAAAAAGGCATCTGTCTTGAGAAATAAATGGCGGCTTAAAAAATTGACAATTTACTGAAAAAAGTCAAATATTTCGGGTGTGTTCACAATTAATTGATATGTTGCAAAGATTTGAGCATATTACGCGATAAAATATTAAGAGGGCGTATAAAGCAAAATTACCAATCTTATTTTTGATTTTACATGAAAAATTATGGACCAAATCTTAAAATAAAAATGTGTGGATAACTACATGATATTTCCGAGGGTTCACATTGATCAAAAACATGAAATAATAACATTTCCTCGATAGAAAAAAATCACGAAGTAACCTCTAATTCTAATATTTTTCCGTTTTGTACTCGATATGGTAATGCCTATTGCGACAAAAATTTGATAATTAATTATACTTTTACAAGAGTAAAGGCTTTGTTTAGGCATTTTATGTAATTCCTTTTAGTTTTGGATATATTTGGATATAACAGTTTTGGCGCATACTACGTTTTTATTCCGCGCAAGAATTCATCGTCCGTCGCACGTTGCGGGAGCTTCAAGCATATTTCTATTTCAGACATCAGTCGCTACCGCTCCGTTGAGACGAGAGGACTGCGCTCAAGTGTTTAGGCGCGCCGAGTTATTATCAATTCAATTATTAGATTATTAGGATAGGAGGTAATAAATTAGATAAATAATAGGTAGCTATTTACTTTTGCTTTTTGTTATATTACTCTTCACAATAAAAAAATCTGATCATTTTCCCCTAGTGTTATTATGATATCTTCCAAAAGTCTAGATAGACGTATGGACTACATAATGATCTTGCGAGTATTCTATAAAAATATTAAAATAATAATAATTACATTCTCCATAAGTCTATGATCACTCATAAGTAACGCGGACAGTATAGTTTGGTATAGTATATGCAAAATAAACACAAGCTTTTAGTTTATGTCTGTCTTTGTTCGATGAAATATATTTATGTCGATTTCGAAGCTATTTAAGTATGTCCATTAGGTATTTAAAACCTATTTTTAACCAACTTCCAAAAGAAGGAGGTTATCAATTCGACTATTATGTTTCTTTTGTGTGTGTTTGTTACGCGATTACTCCATTTATTTTTATTGTTCTTTTTTTATTTGAAAAATTATACTCCTGAGGTGGTCCCATTTAAATTTGGTGAAGATCTGATGCTGGTCTTCGGAGATATACAATGGAACTCTTCAAAAATAGACGTTAAATCGGTCGTGATGGCTGCAATCGCTTGGATGTTTATATGCTTGTCAAATATTTTTATAGGATATTCCAAATAAAAATGGAAAAAAAAAAAATCTTTTTTGCAAAAAAAAAACCGACATCAAAATAAACACAAATCGAACACAAAAAGAAAAACACTAAAAGTGAAAAATAACTTTAGCTTCAGAAGCCGGTGACAAAAATACCAAATCAATCAAACAAAGGTCAAGCTTCAGAAGCCGGTGACAAAAACACCACATCAATCAAACAAAGGTCAAGCTTCGAAGTCGATGGTTGTGGGCTTCGGTTTCCGCATTTAGACTCAGAGTGGTCCTTTATGCGTCGAGGATTGGTTGACTAGGTGAGCCAGCCAAGCTCCTTCCAGAAGCGCAGAAGCCTCCTGGGGCGTTCACAGGCTTCTAGGAGCGACTTTATATCATGAATGATACTTGCCCGTTGTGTGGCCACTCCCTCGCATTCCAGGACTACGTGGACGGCCGTTTCTTCAGCTTCCAGACATTCCCTACACAGGGGACTGTCCTTCGCATTGATTATGAATAGTTGTCGGTTCAGGGCTAGATGTCCTGTAATAGTTCCGACAACCATTCTGATTTCCGGTCTGCTAAGACTGATCAGTCTGCAGGTGAGTCGTGGTGTGACTTGATTCAGCACCAGTTTGGACTGTCTGCAGCCGGGTGAGTTTTTCCACCTCCGGTTGTGTGCTTCACAGGTCCGTTGCCTGACCCAGCATCGTATTTGGTTAAACGATATGGGCAGGAGTGGGATTGGGCCAGAGGTTGAGACGCTCTCGGATCACCTGTATATCCGATTTGAGCTCTCCCGGACCCAGGACTCCAGTAGGGGTCACGTGGCGCGGCGTTTATCCCGCTTTCCGCGGTGGGCTGTTGCCAGGCTGAACCGGGACCTACTAGAGGAGGCAGCCATAATTCACTCGTGGCTGTCTCCTCAGGCTCCGACCGAGGAGGTCGACGTGGGGGCTGGCCGCTTTCGCGATGCGATTACGCATATCTGCGATGCGGCCATGCCCCGCATTCGAGGTCGTCGGCCTCCAAGGAAGGAGGTCTACTGGTGGTACCAGGAGCTGGCGGACCTCCGTGCGGCCTGTACACGTGCCCGGAGGTCCTACACGCGCAGTCGGCGGCGTCACCGTGGAGACGGTGAGGAGGACCGGCTTCATGAGGAGTACCGACGGGCGCGGAAAACTCTGAAGCTGGCCATTAGCCGCGCCAAAGAAGAAAAGAGACAGGAGATGCTGGAGGGTCTTAATCGTGACCCCTGGGGTCGCCCTTACCGCGCGGTGCGACAAAAGCACCGCGCGTCGGGCCCCCCCCTTACGGAGACTCTCCAGCCCAGCTTCCTGCGAGAAGTGGTTGAGGGCCTTTTCCCACAACGGGCGGAACACACTCCCCCGTCGATGGCCTCCCTGGCCGGAGACGACGGGGAGCACGGGGAGGATAATGTTCCGCCCGTCCGGGATTCGGAGGTAGGGGCGGCTGTTCTACGGATCCGTTCCAAGAACACCGCCCCTGGGCCAGACGGGGTACCGGCCCGAGTGCTGGCCCTGGCCCTCAACCACATGGCAGACCGCCTCGGGGAGGTGTTCGACGCTAGCTTGGCGTCGGGACGCTTCCCTGAGTGCTGGAAAAGCGGGAAGCTGGTCCTATTGAGGAAGCCGGGACGGCCAGCCGATTCGGTCGCGGCCTATAGGCCCATCGTGCTGCTGGACGAGGCGGGCAAATTGTTTGAGAGGGTTCTTTCTGCCCGCATCGTCCGGCACCTCTGCGAGGTGGGCCCCGATCTATCGGACGCCCAATTTGGTTTTCGGGCGGGGCGTTCGACAGTCGACGCCGTGTTGCGCCTGAGGGCCGTGACCGAAGAGGCCGTGAGCTGTGGCGGCGTGCTGTTGGCGGTGTCATTAGACATCGCCAACGCATTCAATAGTCTGCCATTCAGCTGCATCAGGGAAGCACTCCACTATCATGGGGTGCCAAAGTACCTGAGGCGGCTAGTGGCAGACTATTTAGAGGAGCGTACCGTCGTGTACGAGGACCGAGAAGGTAATCTGAGGTGTCGGCCCATGTCGTGCGGTGTTCCACAGGGGTCTGTTCTTGGACCCCTCTTGTTGAACATAGGGTACGACTGGGCCCTTCGCGCCGATTTCCCCCCCCGGGCTGGGTGTAATCTGTTACGCAGACGATACCCTCGTGACAGCCCGGGGGGCAAACTTCCAAGAGGCGGCGCGCCTGGCCACAGGGGGAGTCTCCCTGGTGGTCGGGCGCATTGAGGCGCTGGGCTTACGGGTGGCCCTAGATAAGACGGAGGCCCTGTTATTTCATGGGCCCCGTCGTGGTCCACCCCCTGGCGCCTCAATCGTGGTCAACTCGGTCCTCGTACCGTTTCGGGCCCAGATGAAATATCTGGGCCTGATCCTCGACGGGAGGTGGCTCTTCGACGAGCACTTCCGACAGCTTGCTCCAAAGCTGGTCGGCGCTGCGTCTGCCCTAGGGCGACTCTTGCCCAATGTGGGTGGACCCAGCGTCGCGACAAGACGGCTGTACACGGGGGTTGTCCGGTCAATGGCGCTGTACGGTGCACCGGTGTGGGCGGCGGCTCTGACCGCCCAGAATAGGGTACGCCTCTGGCGCCCTCAGAGGGTAATGGCGGTCAGAGCCATACGCGGTTACCGCACCGTTTCTACGGAGGTGGCATGCGCGTTGGCCGGAACTCCCCCGTGGGATTTGGAGGCGGAAGTGCTCGCCGAAGTTTATCGGCGAGTGGCTGACTCCCGGGCGGAGAGCGGATTTCGCCCTCCGCCGAGGATGTGCGCGAGTGGCGCGAAGCCGCTCGCCGAGCCACGATGGCTCGTTGGTCGTTCCGGCTGGAGACTCCACGCGCTGGCTTCGCCGCCGTGGAGGCTCTCCAGCCGGTCATCGCCGAGTGGGCAGGGCGGCAGCACGGGACCCTTTCCTTCCGGCTGACGCAGGTGCTTTCCGGGCACGGTTGCTTCGGAAAGTACCTGCACACGGTCGCTAGGAGGGAACTGAGTCCCGCCTGCCACCACTGCGACTGCAGTGAGGACTCGGCCCAGCACACGCTGGCGGTCTGCCCCGCATGGGCGGCGCAGCGCCGGGCCCTCACTGCAGTCATCGGAGTGGATCTCTCGCTACCGGCCGTAGTACGCTCCATGGCCGGTAGCGACAGTTGTTTTACCGCGGTCGCAACCTTCTGCGAGGTAGTAATCTCGCGGAAGGAGGCGGCGGAGAGGGCCCGGGAGGACGACCTCCACTCGGACCCGATCCGCCGCCGGCGAACCGGGCGGCGGAGGCCGGCCTATCACAGCCTCATGCCGCCCTGAGTGTGGCCGCGGGTGGACGGGGTAGGTTTCCCCTCTACCCGCATTAGTTTGGCCAGCCGCGAGGGGGCGGCGTCCGCGTGTGCCGGACGTCGCCTAAAGAGAGGAACATCAACACTGAGACGGAGCCCGCACCAGGAGCGGGCTGGCGCTAGGAGGGGTCCGGATGTCTTAACAACAGCTGTTCCCGGATCCCTCCTGTTACAGGCGCAGAGTGGCACACCGTGTGGTTTTAGTCGGTCCGAGTCCGACACACCACCCCGCCGCAAACCCCGGAGGGGTGACGGTTCGAGGGGATTTCCACACGTTAAAAAAAAAAAAAAAAAAAAGAGGTTGGGGTTGCCGAGCCCCTCCTTGCCAACTCATCTGCGGCATCGTTCCCGTGTGAGTTACTGTGCCTTTTAATCCATTGGAGGAGTACCCCATTGAATATAGCGAGCTGTTCCAGTGCTTGGCATTCGAAGACAATACCAGAGGTCATTGTGTTGCCCTCCAGTGCCTTTAAGACGGCCATGCTGTCGGATATTATTCGGATGTTGTAGTCCTTGATACCCCTTGACATGGCCGTTGTGGCAGCGTAAGTTATTGCCACACATTCACATTGAAATATGGATCTGTGTTGGCCTAACGCTAGTGATATGTTTATATTTAGGTCTTGCGAGAAAACTCCGGCTCCAGTTCCTGACCTAGTCTTGGAACCGTCCGTGTAAATTCGGACTTTGTTAATGCCGGATTGATCTCGGTCATTTCCATGTATCTGGATGTAGTATCTTCTTGTGAAGATATGGTGTTTTGGGATTCTATCGCATGGAGCTGCTATCAGTGGTTCGTATTCCACCAATTGATCCCATAATTTGGAGTGCGATCCCTCACTTTTGTGCCATAGACCCAGGTGTTTGAGTCTAATGATCGCCATGGCGGCCTCCTGCTGTATGAATAAATCCAGGGGTGGCAGACCAAGAGCCACCTCCAGTGCGGCAGTAGGCGTTGTGCGCATACAGCCAGTGACCGCGGAGCATGGGAGTCGCTGGAATTGCTGCAGTTTGTTTATGACAGTGCTTAGCTCTGTTCTCTGCCACCAGACAACAGCACCGTAAGTGATTAATGGTCTTATGACTGTCCTGTATAGCCATAAAGTAATTTTGGGTGATAGTCCCCAGCTTTTGCCGAGTTGCCGCTTGCATTGGCAGAAAATAATGCAGGCTTTATTCAGTTTTTCATCGAGGTGCTTATTCCACAGGAGTTTACTGTCCAGTATTACTCCTAGGTATTTGACCTCTTTGGTAAGAGTAAGTTGTGTTCCAAATAGCTTGGGAAGTCTGAGATGTCCTAGGCTGCGTTTGTTTGTGAACATGATCATCTCTGTTTTGGATGGGTTCACTGTCAAGTTGTGTGCTACGCACCATTGTTCCACGATCTTCAGTGCAAGTCTCATTTGATCGCATGTAATGCTCTCAAAAGGACCGCTGATGAGAATAGTAAGATCGTCTGCATAGCCTATTGTGAGGAATCTTTGGTCATTAAGTTGTGCGATGAGCTCATCCACAACAATGTTCCATAGAAGGGGGGAGAGTACACCGCCCTGGGGGCAACCTCTAGCCACCACTGCTCTAGTCACTTCGCTCACAGTGAATTGAATAGCTCTATATCTTAGCATGCTGTCGATCCACCCTGAGATTGTGGAATCTACACCATGCCTAGACAGAGCTTGGCTAATGCTGGTGAAGTTGGTCTTGTCAAAGGCTCCCTCGATATCGATAAAGGTGGCCAGTGTTGACCTTTTGTGATTTAGATTGTCTTCTATATATGAAACAACTCGATGTAGGGCAGATTCTGTTGATTTACCCATCGAGTATGCGTGTTGATTGAGGTGTAGAGGGTGACTGACTAACGCAGTTTCCCTGATTTCCCTATCTATTAGCCTCCCGAGAACCTTTAGTAAGAAAGATGTGAGACTAATAGGTCGGTGTGATTTGGGTTGTGTGTAGTCACCTTTACCAGGTTTGGGGATGAAGACTACTTTAACTTCTCTGCATTTCAAGGGGATGTACTGATGCGCCAGGCAGCCCCTATAAATTTTTACAAGATGGTTCAGTAGTGTCATATCACACCATCTCAGTAGGCCTGGGAAGACACCATTTAGTCCTGGCGCCTTGAATGGTAGGAAGCTGTTAATTGCCCATCTTAGTTTGTCATGGTTGACAACTTTGCGGGCCGTATCCCAGTCTGTATCATCTGGTGGGTTTTCCCATCTGTCTTCCCATTTTTCCATCACATCTGATATGCGACTTCCAGGGAAGTGTGTTTTTAATAACAGCTCTGAGGCTTCCGAGTCTGTTTTGGTATACTCACCATCAGGCTTCTTCAGTGAGCCAAGATTGTGTTCGCCTCTACTACACAGTATGTTTTTGACTCTATTACCCTGGTTGTTGTTCTCTATGTTAGTACAGAAGTTTCTCCAGCACTCAGTTTTCCTGGTTCTGATTCTCTCCTTATATTGTTGTAGGCATCCCAATGTTGGTCTAATCGTGAGTTTTTTGCTTTATTGAACAACTTTCTCACTTTACGACGTAGTCTTTCCAGTTCCGGACCCCACCATTGGTGGTTTGTTCTGTGGTCCAGTTCTGGGTGTGGAAAGTGGCATGGGCATGTTTGTTCAAAGCAATCGATCAGTGTCTGTGTAAGGTTGACAACATGACTGTCAATGTCCTTAACAGTCCCCGTAGCGTATCTTGGGTTGATGCTTCGCAGTTTCTCCGCAGTAAGATGTTCATACCGTTTCCGGTCCATTGTGCGGGGATCCCGTCGGGGATCGGGTAGTTTAAGTTTCATTTCAAAGTTAAATTTGATCCAGCGATGGTCTGAGCACGATGCTTCGTTCGAAACATGCCAGTTCGATATGTGTTGCGATGCGTGCTCACTTGCTAATGTAAGATCAATTATTGTTTGGGCCCTGGATGTGACAAATGTCGGCTCCGAGCCCACGTTGATAATGTTAAGGTTAGTTGATAATAGGAACGATTCGAAGTCGGTGACAAAAGCACTAAATCTATCAAACAAAGGTTCCTTGTATGACGCGACAAATCTTTAAAAAACCTGAAGAGAAAATATGTAGTGGGCCCTTAAACATATCACGTGACATACCCGGTCTGAGCAGTACTGCTTCTGAAAGATTCATAATTGAAGGAGACCGAGACCAACCCGGTCCGAGCAGTACTGCTTCTGAAAGATTTATAATTGAAGGAGACCGAGATCTCGTTAGTTCAAATAATTTTGCAGCTGGACCCCATACCCTTTATTACAAGAAATTATTATACCAATTACGGAATATTGATAAGAAAGACGCGATTGAATATGATTTTTATTATGATTTTTTATTGATTGATATTTGATATGATTGAATATTTGAAATAAATATAATATTATTTTTTGGTATTGATTTTTATTGATTTGTGTTCAGTATCAGTGGTATAGTCACCTCCTACTAACTTACTATTTAGGTATTATTCGTGTACACAAAACATTTCGTAATATTGTATAACGCAGTCATACTTTGAATACAGTTGTTTCATCTGATTATTATACGTATACTACAGAAGATACGCGTCGAGCGAGCGCGTAGGTACACGCGCGATCGTTTTCGATGTGAGGGGAGCGGGCAGGGGAGCGCGGGTGAATTCTTAAATTTTGCTGGCTTTATACGCGCTCTTAATCAAAATAGGAGTATAATCAAGCATAGGGAAGCAAAGTAATTAACTTAATTACATATAATAATAATTAAAAAAAAACACCACAAAGTATTTAACAGATATACAAGTATATATTTAAAAAAATGAAGTAAAATAACATTAAAATATAATTACCTTAAAGCGGATAGGCTGATGATGATGATATAAATTAAATGTAACGGTGTCTTCAATATATTTAGTAGATTTTGGGGATAAACTGAAGCCGAACCGAGGGAAACCCTGTAGTATTCCTATTCACGCCTCCAGAACACTCATAGACACTATAATAAGCAATGATATAAAATTAACAAGTAAAACTAAATGAATATTGTGCCAATATACTTAAAAAATAAATTACACACTGACTGATACAGTCTATCGTGCTTTTAAAATGACATTTTATGAACAAATTTTCAGGTTAACAGTTTAGAAATAACGTCACCAGAAAACAAGTCAACTCTCCTCGTTTCTGGTCTGAGCTTCGAAGTGAAATCAGGAGAGATCCTCGCGGTGTTAGCAACATCTCAGCACGAAGCCACTGGACTGCTTGACGTGTTAGCTGGTGTTCGGAAGGTAGGATTATTTAATTGCAATATTCTTCTACAGAAACAAGTACACTTAGAGAAAACCAAAGACTACCCGACGACTAATAGGTAACTGTCATACATGATCATGTGTAATTGCGTAAAGGAAGAAGTGATAAACTGGGCGTATATTATTCACTGCACCACAGCCAACTGCAACGAATGCTAAACAAGCGAGCATACTAACAATCGTCTTCTAATTCCTATCGATACAGGTAAATATAATAAAAAAAATTGACTGCACGGATGGCGTAGTGATTTAAACGGTCATCTCGCCGCTTTGTAATGCGTAATGCGCTGAGTGTTGTGGCTTCGATCCCCACATGGGACAATACTTGTATAATTCACAAATTGTTATTTTGAGTCTGAGTGTTCTTTGCGTTCATATACTACGAGTATTAGTCTCTTTGCCACCAACTTCTAATATAAATCGAAAATTTCACGAAGCGAACGTTGCATGAAATTTAATACATTTTTAGATCTATATTTTTAGCTTTACGTAAGTATGTTTGTAAACAGACAGAAACAGGCAACATTCCTAGTGCGAGAGTTGTCCTTTCAAAAAACTTTTTCAAAAATACGATCAAAGAAAATTAAAGCGACTACTTCTTAACACGTTCTGAAGTCAGGCAGGTATTTGAATATTGTAAATACTGACAATTACTTAATTTCTTCTTACAGAAACTAACTGGCGACATAGTTCTAAATGGACAGCCAGTAGCTTCTTCGACTTTGAAGAAGGTGGCCGCGTACGTGCGATCAGACACATCACTATGTCCAAACATGACGGTAAAACACACTCTGAGGTTTCACGCGGCATTGAGAACACCCAGGCACAATAATCATGTCAAGATGGATGATAGGGATAGGGTGAGTGATTTCTCAACTTTTAGAGGCGATCTAAAAAATATATTTAAAGTTATCAAACTGTTACAATTTGAATAAAGCGGATTTTTATTTGTGCTTAAAGAAATAATTTTTGCTCTTGGTCTAAACCAGATATTCCCAAACTATTTTGGGCAGGAGACCCCTTTCCTAAAATGAACTGATATCACAGACCCCCATTGCCAAATTACTAGATGCTTATCGACTTGTTGAGTTTTTAAAAAGTACAACAATGATACTTCCTCCTAAAATATTAGTCATTTTTATAACAAGTTGATTCACGTAACATAACTAATGCAGTATCTTGGAAGTTTCAAATAAGAACTTGTGTTAATTAATAGGTGTTGTTTTTAGACCTCGTCGACCCCCAAAATCAGTTTTCGTTTCGACCCCTTTGGGATTCCCTGGTCTAAACGATCAAATTACGGATATCTACTACGGTCCCCTCATGGGTTTCAAGTGTCACTCACTGGCAACTCATAACATTTTACCCAGTCTTCATAACAAATTATGAATAAAAATCACAACTAATAATAATACGCCACAAATGTAAGAAAATCCAAGACTTTAACAGTTGCAAGTAAGATAAAATAGTACCATAAAATGTATATAATTCCTGGTTCACATTGCAGATAAACCTCCTAATAGAAGAATTAGGTCTCGAACAAGTTCGAGATACGAATGTTGGTCGTCTTACCCGCTCCGAGATCCGCCGTCTCAACGTAGCCTGTCAATTACTCCTCGATATGGCAGTGCTCATACTGGATCAGCCAACGAAAGAGATGGATATATTCGATACATTTTTCCTGGTCGAGTATCTGAGAAACTGGGCCAGTACAGGTCGTGTAGTGATCATGTCACTGCATCCTCCTACTTATGAAATCTTCGCTATGCTTACCAAGGTACATTTTAATACTTACCCTATCTAGAAAACAATTTTTATCTTACTGAAGTACCTGCATATGTAATTCAAAAAAGTTTAGTGCTTTTATTACAGGGTTAGATTACTCAATCGTCCGGATGTCTTAATAAAAGCTGCTCCCGGACCCTTCTGCCTCGAATGGAACACCGTGCGATTTTAGTCGGTTCGATTCCGACACATCGCCCCTGTGGGGTGGCGCCACGAGGGGATTGCTACACGTAAAAAAAAAACCACTCACTCGAATTTAACAGGGCTGATTAAATGACACGGCTGGTACTGCGAAACTCCGTAGCAAGAAGTGTCAGTTTAGCATCACTTTCCTCCTCCTAGCAAACCAGATGATCACTATCGTTGCTTATTTATTACGAGGGGAGCAAGTTTCCTTGTATCTTCATCATCATCAGCCTTAAATAGTCTACACGCGGACATAGGCCTCTCCTTAGGAAGGAGGTTATATTTTAAGTCATGGAAATTAAATGTACGTTATATGTATATTTCTCTAGGTGGTGTTAATATCAGCCGGTAGGACGATGTTCAGCGGGTACAGAAGGGATATGTTGCCATATTTTGCCTCGATCGATTATCCCTGTCCGGCTTTCAAGAACCCTTCGGATTATTATTGTAAGTTATGTGAATTAACACCCACAAAACATATAGAATGCGCTTGTACCGTAAACGGAAGTGAAGCTTGTTTCCAGGTTTCTTCTATTCTATTCATACAAAATGCCGACACCATCTAGTTTTTCCTAGACGAATCAACGTGTAAAATTCTGTGTAAAGATCTGTTTGCAAAATAAATTCATTTATCTTTTACCATATTCATTCTCGGTCACGCCCCTTAGACCTCACTCCGTTAAGCCCTTTTCTCACAATCAGCAATCGCAACTTAATTTCTATCATCTCATTGCAGTGGATTTAGTAACACTAGACGAGCTATCAGCAGCTGCCATGCTGGAATCCTCCGGTCGTATCGAAGCTTTAGCAGGTGTGTTCGCAAGTGCACATTCCCCGCCAGATCCACCGCCACCTGTGCCGCTGCCTGCACCTTCTACTACTCAGAATATATTCGTGCAGGCAAAGGCACTGATACAGTAAGTATTATCGAGCTTAAGGGCGCAGAGAGGCTCAGCATAAAACACAGCATGACATATCAGGATCTATAGTCCATTCGCGTTAAGAACAAATAACGTATTGTTTCCTACGAAAGCTTGGACCAAAAAAGAGTTAAGGCGCGGAGCTTGATCGATACATCATTATTTTCTTAACACGAGTTGACTATCTTGACTAGTTGGACTATAGTTGAAGAATTCTAAATAATTCCTTTTACTGCTTTTTGGTTGTCAATCTAATAGATACTCACTCCAGCATAATGGGCTTGGACTATGAACCTTGACATACTTTTTCCAACTCGACTTCTTACGAGTCTCGGTTGTAGATCTTGCAGAAGGCAGACAGTATTATATCCTTCTTTTGAACGATAAAGGAATATATTAAAGCAGCCATCACGCATAAGGTTAACAATAGAGCCTGTACTAGGATTATTAATTAAATAAACAAACTTTGATATGCAGCCAATTTATTTCAGTTTAATTTTGCGAAATCAGACACGTTTTTCGCCACAGATCATACAAAAGACATCATTTGTATACTCTTTTTTGTAGGAAAAGTATAGTATTCACTCAGATGACGACGCTTTCCAACGTGGTCAGCAGAGTATTACTAGCAGCCATCATGTCACTTATTACTGGCACTGTATTCTGGGACCTGCCAGCAACCGACTCAAGGGTGAGTGTAATTTCCTTTCCGCTACCCGTTTGACGGTTTCAGAGATAAAGATTTTCAGAGTAACTTATCGGGAATCTTTATTACTTGCTACTTGAGTTCAACTGCTACGTTTAGTAACGAAGCAACGCTTATTGTGTTTGAAGCCTGGAAAATACCAGGATTCTTATATTTCATCTTTGGTTTTCAGTTAACTCAAAACGACCGAGTCGGCTTCCATTACGCAGTAATGTGCCTGACAATTTGGCCGATCCTCTTGTGGTTGAGTGCTCGTGAAGCTAGCTCCATGCGCCACCACGTCGAAAGGGACATATCAGTAGGACTTTACACCAGAAGTGTATTTATTCTGTTAGATGTAAGTTGATGCTTGTTCATGATACGTTATGGATTCATTTTCGGCTCAGGTATATTTTAGTACATTTAGAAAGAAAACACTGTTATAAGCTAGAATCAGTATCTTAGTAATTATGTACTAGACAGATTTAATACGAATACAGGTTGAATTAAAATTTCTGTAAGGCTACAGGGCACTTTCTTTTTCTGTTGTATGACGGAACCCTGCTTTTTTATAAGAGTTGTTGTCTGTCTTCAAAACTAATCATCAGATCTATAAGAAATTTAAATGGAACCATTTCGGAATAAACCCCTTTCGAACAAAAATAAATAAATTGGTAAATCCGTCATATGACGTAATTAGGCCCGAATATACACAATAATATATATATAAGCATCTGAATTGATAACCTCCGCCTTTTTGAAGTCGGTTAAAATGTTATGAGGGTACTTTATCAAGTTTTTTTTTTTGTTTCAAGTTTATATGAAGTTAAGTTATTATAACTTCATTCGACGAATATATGCACCAGTAGGTATTGCTAGAAAGAATTTGTTCTTTTTTTTTGTCAATGCTCATGCGTAAATAACTTTAATACTGAAACACTTGTCTCCCAGAACACACAGAAGTACTTGCCTAATGTTACACAGAACACCTGGTTACTATGTATGTATTATTCTAATGTACAATAAATATTCCAGCAATTCATGGAGTTATGGTCTGCCGGGGTGACGTGGCTCGCTTACTTGGTACCAAGTTACGCTATGAGTGGACTCTACGCGCAATCGCTAATGTCTTTTGAAGGATTTTATTTATATTTAGGTAACGTTTTCAGAATCTCATATTCACACTTCATACAGAATAAGATACATAAAGTTAAGGATCTATTTTCATGGTACTTCTATAAGTTTTGTAGCTCCGGGCAAACAAACAGACGGGTTACTTGAAGATAAGTGGCTGCCGCGGCTCACGCACACATACAACTCAAGGGACACATGTGCGATGCTATCCTTTGAGTAACTCAAGGGATTTGGGCCTCCAGTATCCTGACTCACTCGGTGAAAAGTGACGAAATAATTACTTAACACTGGTTTTCTGTGAGGCTGTGGTATCACTCCGATCAAGCCGGCCATGTGCTGAAGCATGGCTCTCCCAGGGTTTTTTTTATAAAGACATTTCCTGCACTTGAAATATATACTGGATCGCGGGGGGCTTCACAAACATCCATCGAACGGGCACAGAGAACATCCAGACTCAGAACAACAATTTGTGCACAACACAAACTGTTGTTCCATATGGGATCAAAGGTAAACCGCTCAGGGCAGTAGAAAGCGGCGAGGTGAACGTGTAAAACTACTACGTTATCCGTGCGGTCGAATATAGCCGAAGCCGGTTATAGCATGGCTCGCCCACTATAAAAGCCACTTAGCCTCTAGAGCACGGAGTGCCCGTGCTAAAACAACCAGATGATAATTATAACGATTTATGACTGCATGTTCTGCATAAATTATAATACACATTTTATTACTTTTAGGTTACATGATTCTGTATCTAATAAGTATACAAATGTTATGTCGAGCGACAATATTCATTGTGCCAATGGAGAAAACAGCTACAGTTATCACCGGATTCTGTCTACTACTCAGTACTCTGGTCAATGGAGTCTTGTTACACCAGAAAGATCTGCCAAATTACGTCACGTGGTTGAAATACGTGTCGCCATCTAGGTGGACTGTGCCGGAACTACTCATGATGGAGTTGAGTGAAACGGCTCTCAGGAGCAGTATTAGTAAAGATATTAGGTGTCCGAATAAACAGGTTAGTTTTTTTAACTCATTATTGATATAACAGAAAATAAACTTCTATTACTGAATAAAAGTAATTAACATCCATTCTATTGATTGATTTGAACTTTATTTATAATGTCCATAGTTAGTTCTGCATTTTCCTATTATATTTAGTCCAACAGAATAGAATTTACCACAATCGTCATCATGAGCTTAATACAAGATTGAAGAATAGTGTTTAATTGTTGACATACATACCTACCATTTTAATAATAATATGTACAAATACTATTAATTTACTACTTTTTGCACAACTCTCTTTTTTTCATCTAAAAAGGTCATTTGTTGCCACTGTTGTAGAAATCGCAAGACAAAATTGTATTTACTGTAAAACCAGCATGTAAAGTGTATAATTGAAGGTCCGAAAAAAACTACTTATTTTATTGTTACAGAGGCCCTACCAGGACATTATAGTACAATCACCTTGCCCCCCACCCAACGGCACTCAAGTACTATCAAACTATGACTATCTACGATCTGATAACATATGGGAGTGGAACAACGAAACCTTCCTCATATCACTAGCTGTATTTTACGTAATATTCGCCTTAATTGGCTTTATAGCTTTTGTTGCTGACTGTACTAAGTACACCAAGAGCAAGGAACGGGCTTCAACGAAAGGGCATAAGATTAGTGTTAACACTCCCTGAATAGGATTTAAGCGTGAAGTGTTCAATATTGTTCAACTAGAAAGAATTTCGATCGAGCGCCATAGACATGGAGAACTAGTTTTTCAAACTTAAATAATGTGGGCCACAATGGATTAAGTTCTTTGTCGATGGTCTTGCAAAATAAAAAGATTTTGTACAAATACTACAATCATGTGATTTAAATTTGGAATTGCAATTCAAAAGAGGTTTCATAAAAGGATTTTTTGTTTTAATCGTGGGAATACGTTCCATTATTATTGACAGAAAAATTATAGTCTCTGACTTGCAGCTACTATAATCTGTATCTTAAAATAAGGTTCTGCAGTACTCTTAATGGCCATGATTACTGAGACTGTTCAAGAGTTTGACATCGCCATATTGAAATTTTAGAATCAACTCTAAACATTCATATATGACGAACATTAATTTCTTGTTCTTTCTTGAATAGTCTTAAATTGATAAAAAAAATACATTCGCTCAATAATAGGGCATGTTAGCATAATAGTGATTAAAATAATAATGTTTAATTAAATAATAATAGAAGTCGAACAATGTACAAAGGTATGAATTGTCATAATAATAAAATGTGTAATAAGTTGTACCCAACTTTGTAGTTAAAAAAGGCTGACTGAAGGTCTTCCGTCCATATCAATAAGTTTTAATAAATAATATAGTTTAAGAAAAAATATTTTAGTAAATTTTATTATCGAATATGTGTAATGGGGTAGACAGAATTTAAAATGACCGTTATCTATGGTTCCGCCAGTTTAGAAAATAAAAAGGCTTTTTGTTTTTCTTCAGAATTAGGTACATAATTTAGAAGCGTTAGCAAGTTTCAAAACAGTAGTATTTAAAATAAGTTAAATTGGCTAGTGTAATAACTCTGACCTCTATGTTCTTACAATATTTTGATTTTAATTTTGAATACGAACTATATTTTGCACTGAATAAAATGAAGCAAACTAGACTATTTTTGTTTTTTAAATAAATTTTTTTAATTTTATATTCAAAAAAGACTAAGTTCGAAATAACATAAATAACTTCAAGTTTTGAAATTAAATTTTAAGTAAGGGCAACATCTAATGCTCGTCTATGACATGTCAGACACCATAAACAAGGGCAGTTAAAACGAGGATAAGTCAATCACTAGCGAATAGACACTGGTCAAATAACTATCGGCCCCATTACACAAAAAAAAATACATGGAAGTCTACAATTTTAAGATTTGTCTCTGCAATGCTTTTATTCTCTACCGCTTTTACTTCTCTACTTCTTATTAGAAGAAAAGTTAGGTAAGGAGGAATACAGTTCGGGCAGAATATGACAAGATAAGGGTATAGTGGCCAATGGCCCTTTTTCAGTAACTTTTTGAAGAGGTTTTGTTTTATTTCGAAGTTTTGTGAACAAGACCGACATTTAAAGATTAAATGAAGGCCTCGTTACAAGGTAAACTGTTAAGATGACCACCGCATATTCGATATGAGAAAAATCTTAACCCATACTCTTTTGCTACTTTATACTATTGGTATTTAATTTTACTACTCAAGTTTTAATTTTTTAGCATGGCAATAAAGAAAAATGTTTTCTGTAAACAGTGCCTTTGTATATATCGTTTAAGGTGAAACGTATATTTAAATCATTTATAATAGAATGAAAAAAATCTATTATCAGAATAAGTTAAAACAAGATATACTTATTGGTATCGATACAAACCCACTGAAACTGTTACCCCTGTTCATCCCACAAGAAAAAACATCCGAAAAAATTGTAGATAATACTTTATGAATTTATTAAACATAGACAAGACAAAAAGACAATATCTTTTTTAGTAGGTACTATCATAAACATAAGTTTTATTGTCAAATTAGTTTATAAAGTGAAGCCATATCACTTAATTATAAATTACTCCTAAGTTACCTTAGATTCAAAACTATACATATAATTAAATAAAATAATAATTTAATTTTTCATTTGTTTTATTTCATGATTTATTGTTTTACACAAACAAGTATAACATATAATAACGATTTTTATAGGTAAGTACATTGATATATTACAATAAGTTAATATGACAGAACACATTAGTTTTTGTTATTTATAAATATTGTTTTAACAACATAAAATATTTGTAACAATGACTTGTGTATAATTAAATAAACAAGAGGTAAAGCTGAATAAATAAAAACGACATAGTTTCAGCCCTATATATATATTAACAAAATGCCTCCTAATATTGTTTTAATTACTATTTAATAATAACAAGGCATTATTTAGGTTGAATACCACATTAAATATTTGCCATAGTAAAATAAAAAAATGATTTGTGACAAATTAAAATAAAAATTATTTTCCAACTGCACTTACATTAATTAGACATAAATTATTGGGGCAGGCTTGTTTTTTAACACGGTTTTATGTATCTATGTATACGCTTGGTATGTATCTATGTAACGGAATATTTGAACGTGACTTTCATCCACTCTAAAACGTCAGATCGAATTCAAACTTCGCACACTTATAAAGAACTGATGACAATACAATAATTTTTAAATTTGTCCGATTATCCTAATCAGGATAAAACACAGCTGTTTGTCAAGTTTGTCTTTCAAAGTAATCGCTTGTTGCTAACACTATGCCGGTGGAAAGCTAATGGTAGTTAATAATTTTCAAATTGTGCAACACTATCAGGAGAGATGATTATTTCACAATTTAGTATTATTAGTATAACAGTACAGTGTTACAAACATTATTTATTGGAATGAAACAATTCATGGTACCTTCTACATATTTCACAGACGCACGGGCTTGTCTTAGCCCTGCAGTACATCTTGGGAACGTCTTTTGCAGTTTTCCTGCGATAATTTTCTTGGTCGATATAACGGCTCTCCAATGTCACCTTATTTGCCTCATCTTCATAGTTTAGGTTTCCTCCGTGCGCTTTTTCCGCGGCATCGAATAAAGCTTCGGTGGATCTGCAATAAAGGGAGTTATTACAAAATTAAATATGACTTATGACTCGCTTGATATTAAGTCATTAAAACTTAAATCGCTTCAAGTGATCTCGATGGTGACTAAAATATGTTCCGTGAATAATTTATTTGAATTAATAACCACCTATCTGTATGGTTAAAGCATTATTTGAGCGGCTACTACGGTCCAAGTGAAAGTCATTTAGATATAGACTACTACGACGAACTAACTAATGACTACAATACTTAGTAAAACCCATGCACGACTTAAATAACAAAGGTTTAATGCATCTTTTATAAAGACGATTTTAGGTATTTGTTGCTTACACAATAAAGACGCTAAACGTGTCTACGTTACGCATGTACAGGTCAATTTCTACACAAGCTTCATATACGCAGCTTTAGTGGCATGTCGTTCAAGTGTACTGAAATATCTACATGAGTTATCTTTTAACCGTATAATTACTAATATTTCGTACATTATTTCTAATCACGAAAAACATGTGTAGTAAATGTTCACTCATCGTCATCAACAACCTTTAAAAGTCCAGTGCTGGACACCTCTCCTTAGAAAGAAGGTTTTGGCCAACTATATACCACGCTGATCAGACGGGTTGGTATAGTATTTGTAACAAGTTTTCCTTCTCTTTGCATTGCTCTTGTCTGCGTGGTTTGCCCCAAGTCGGCTCTTACGACCCCCATGGTGTTCATCCGTCACCGTCACACACAAATATAATTTTTGATATATTCTCACAAAATATTTTAAATCTTGAATTTCAGTAACCAGGCATCAACTACTTCTAGCCTAGGCATCTAACTACTTCTAGCAAAAGTTCGTACGATTAATCTTTTTTCTCGTTACTACACTTCACCTGCTCAGTTCTTCACTATATCCTTCGGGCTGGTTGCCTATTGGCGACTTTTCCCGTTCGGGAGTAGAAGTTTGAACGTTGTACACATAATAATCACGCAACTGTGATAAGCCCGATCGACGTCTAGGCCTAGCGTAATGTTTACAACTAATAGGAAGAAACATTATTATTACTTAATCGTCTTCATTAAAATCTTAAACATAAAGCTTGTTAAAAATGACTAAGGCATCATAAAGTAGTATGGATTTCCACCCATATTAGTCGATACAATTAAGTTTAAAAACTTTAGGTGTAAGTTTAATGGGGATGAAATGTCGTAGACGGATGGATGGATTAGCGGAGCGGAGGTGCTCAAAAGAAGTATTATAATAATTCTGGTAACTCATGTTGTAGACATCTATATCGGCAACTTTGCAATGTTTTGGTTGATAACTTAGAGTAATTTACTCAGTTAAACCCTGCGGTTTTGGGCAAATACAAATAATTCGTTTTTTGTATCTAAGAAAGTCCTACAGCCGTTCTAGGATGTCAACAATGCTTGATAACTGATATTAATTAATCTTTTGCTGCCTAAAAACTGAAACACCGAGACAACTAAAACAACTATCGAGTTGCGAGCGATGATTATTGAATGGCAGAACTTAATCTTTAAACAATATCAACATATCACCTTATTATTTCTTCATCACTACCATCGTCGTATTTTTCCTTTGTTGGCCATTCATTTTGTTGTTGAGTTGGGGTGTGTATGCTATAACCACAGTAAGTGCGGCACAAGGGCGATCGACTTGAAGAGGAAAAAGGTCGCTTCGGCGGAGTAGGTATAGGCCTAGAGGGTGAGGATGTAAAGGATCAGGAATGCAAATATCTGTTTTTTTTTTTCGAAATTAGAACGACGTAAAACAAACAAACAAACAACATAAAAAGATATCCATGGCGGGATTCATAAATATAAGTTTAATTTGTTACAAGTTCTGTGTTGGGAACATTTTTAAATTTTTGATGTGTGACAGTTCTGACTGCGTGGCTGTGCTTTCGTGAAAAGAAACGGAAATTTGTTACCCGAACGGAAGCCAGTAAACCGTCCGCTATTTGATTTAACCAATAAGCTTCCGCGGTGCTTAATACAAATGGCCGTCATTGGCCGTCAGATGGTAGTTGAGATATTACACATTATATGCGACTATTGTGAGGATCGCTTGTTTATAGCGCCAGCCTATTCTATGGTTTTAGTACAGAGTATTTTATGAGAGTAAGTATTGGATTTTTTTAGGGGTCAACATTATGGGTAAATAATATTTAAACCAAACTTACTTAGTACAACTGCAGTGGTCTGCATTTTTGTTTAAACTGTTCAACGAAGTCGATATGGCTGAGCGCGACCTTGATCTCGATGATGACCTTGAAGCTGAGTTCCTTCTTGGATTGCACCTGGCTCTGAAAGTACATACTTGTTTATATGAAAATGGTACCGGGCTTGTGTTTGAAGTAATAAGATTCCCAAGGCGTAATGTGTACTGGTTACCATAGAGCGCTGGCTATGCTCTATGGTAACCGCTACTCAGGATTATATTATCCGTAAAAAAATTTACTAAGTTATTTGTTACACAAAATTACTTAAATTGTATCTAACATATATTAAGTAAAGCTTGTATTTTTTTTATATTTCAATGTTTGATGTATAAAATAATTTATGTAGTGTGCGGCTCGCCTTGCCGTATACGTAACCGCACAAATTTATTTATAAAATTATTTAACCGATAACTTTCGTTTATAATGTCTATTAAAATCATTATATTATGACAGTGTGCCTAATTTAGTTGAATCAGAAGCAGTTTTGAAGCGGAGCTTAAGACAGCAGGAGTAAGAGATACTTTCGATAGTGTTCCAAACATATTCGTTTTCCCCAAAATGGGTAAAAATTTCTTATCTTGTTGCAATACCTAATATACTTACCTGAACTTTTACAGCACCAAGAAGAAAAACCACTGGTTAACATGCACATAGACAATGTTAATTAATGTAATTATTAAGATATAAATCTTACTGATGGTATCTAGCCGAGTGACAAACTTGCTTCTGTCTAACTCCTTCTCCCTTCAGTCCGCAATGACACGCGTGTACTTTAACAGTAGAGTCGACATGACAAGGTTGGTCCCATACCTCATCTATACGAACTTTGGTTGCTATTTCAATTTTAGGCGATAATATACCCTGAAATTTTACTACAAAATTTTTACCTATTCACGACAGATAGCTTCGGACTTCAAATCAAGTGATTGTAGGTTCGAATCTCACCTATTTTACTGTCAGAGACTTATGTGGGTACAATTATTTTTTAACAAAAGAAAAAAACACTTATGTTTTAGGTACTTGACTTATATAAACAATAATAAATCAAGTATCGTAGAGACATTTGACGAAAGACAGACGCTTGAAGCAGAGTCAAACCTAACTGTCACTTCTCAACTACCAGCTACTTATAATTTTCATCAGTAAGAAAGAGAATAATCATAATTCTTAGCGCAGAAAAGATTCATATATTTTCTTCATATATTTTATATATATATATATATATATATTTTTATATGACCAATATTGATTACCGTAGTAGTGGTAAGTTTTAAGTACGCTGGCACATGCATGTGCTGCGCATTTACAGCTTGCCGTTGTGGGCTTCTATTTAAGAAAGATCATTCTATTTCTCGGCTTTTAGAAATAGCGTGATCTGTAAATCAGACAATTTGACTGACAGATGACTGACTGACTTTGAGGGTGATCTGTAAAGTTGAATGAAATGAATGAGATCTACAATTTTCGTACGTTCATGTTTCCTAAATATTATACAGTTACATTTTTAGTTAAAAATGTTTACAACTTTTCATTTCAATAGTTTAATCGTACTCTAAGGTAGTCAGAAAATGGCTCTTCAAATGGTTTATGTAAATTGATATAAATTATAACTCTTCAGGGCTTTGGGCTCGAAAACTTGGCCATGCATGCCAGAGCACCCAGAATATTTGCTAAACACACAAAACAACACATAAAAAGCGATCTAGAAATACATAAAAAAAATGTTTACAGGGAAAAGCTTAGACCTCCTCATGAGCAGATCTACGCCGTCATTGGAGCACATGTTGGGGGGGAACAGTACATCGTTCATGGCACCGAGATACTGCGCTAAAATCATACACTCTTCTGTTACACATTTAGTTCCACATTGTACCAACTCACAGTATATTGTTTCATCTTCTGCAATAGAAAAATAATAATTTGATGAATATATACTAAGCCTTTGCTGCACAGATGGCGTAGTGGTTCAAGCGGTCATCTCGCCGCTTCCTAGTGCTCTGAGTATTTTGGATTCAATCCTTAATCAATCTAAACGTGTTTGTAAAGGTGTCTCGTAAGAAAAAGTCTGTTCATAAATACTAATAAACTTATTCATTATAAGCTTTATTGGTATATTAGTAATGCCAAGACTATCCGGCAACTATTCGGTTATTTGGGTATCTTATAACTATTCGGTATTCGGTTATTTGGGTATCTTATAACTATTCGGTATTCGGTTATTTGGGTATCTTATAACTATTCGGTATTCGGCCAAATACTAGGACTAAGTGTTGCCGAATATTCATTATTCGGTATTTTGCCGTGCCGACGGCTCCGATAACCTCACTCGCTCAGTGAAAGGCAACGAAAGAATTTCTTAACACCGGTTTTCTTTGAGGCCGTGTTATCACTCGATGGTGGTATCAGTCGAGCCATACTATTTGAAAAAAAAATTTGAATAAAAATTGCTTATCAATACAGAGTTATTGCAAAAGTTTTTAGCCTTATTTTAGGAGAATTCAGACTTCCCAGCAACAGACTCTTTGAGTTAGATTTGCACTAAGATGCTGTTGTTTGACTATGCTCTACAACAAGTCATAAACATCTAACAAAGCTCAACATTAAGCTCATCAAGCTTTTTTCTATTGTGAAAAATAAGTAATTCAAATGTTTTTACTCACTTAGCAAACAACAGATATTATTAAGTGCACAGGACTGTTGGAAACGTTTCTTGAAGTAAAATACATCCTTGAACATAAGAGGAAAGACTGGTGGAAGAAGACATGTCTGGTAGCTGGTGCCAAGGGCGAAAACTGTGAGGCAAACACGACCACCCTGACATAACCAGACACCGGGACATGATACCTGAAAACATAAAAGCAGTTTATAAGTTCATATACACTAGCTGGTGCACCAAATTTCATACAAAATTTCATCCCCTATTAATTCACCTCCAAGTTTAATTTTTGTAACAAAATATAGCTAAAAAAGTTTAATTAATATCCTTCTCCAAGGATCCAACTATTTCTATGCTAAAAACATTAAAGTTGGTTTAGCAGTTTAAAAAATTTGTTGATTTTACTTTATTAACACACTTCAAAAACACAAAAGTTTTTTGTTATTCATACTAGTATAGTTTTAGCTTCATGCTAAAGAGTTAAAAAAAACTAGATTTTAGTATTTTATGTTTAAAATATTCTCACACGAAATAAGAGCTATTTTTATTTATTTATTAACCGACTTCAAAAAAAGGAGGAGGTTCTCAATTCTACTGTATTTTTTTTTTTTTTTTTTTGTATATTTGTTACGCGATTACTCCGGCAATTATAAACCGATTTGAATAATTCTTTTTTTATTTGATAGGTCATACGTCAGAGGTGGTCCCATTGTCACCAGGTCAGGATCTGATGATGGGATCCTGGGGAAATCGAGGGAAACCCTCAAATTTTGTAGACATATACACTGTTTATCAGAAATTATCTTAATCTATGTAGATTTTTGCATCTAATGGTCACCATCTGATGTTGCTGAGCTGATGATGAAGCTGATGATGAATGGTTTAGGAGTATGGGATCTCTGTAACAAAATTATGTAATACCATCGAATTTGAATGTGTTTGAGTCTAATTAATAAGGACTCCGATCCTATGTGATATTCAGGGTCTGATGATGGAGACGGTAAATAGCCATGGGAACTCTGTAATAAAATAAAGCAATTCCGCCGTGTTTGTGCTCATTTGATTCGTCTCGACTAGGAGCTTCATGCTAGTCGATTTTTAACCAACATCAAAAAAGGAGGGTTTTTGATTCGACAGTATGTTTTCTTTTTGTATGTTTGATACGCGATCATTCCGCCAATTTTGACAATCCTACATTATGTTTGTCCACGGCACCTTTTTTTTTTTTTTTTTTATTTTTTTTTTTTATTTTTTTTTTACCTATTTGAAGGAAAATACAATCAGTTTGTTTTGCACTAAGGGAGCAGAATGTTAAACATTCAGTGTAGAAGAGAATGTTCTTTATTCTACACCAATTACAATATATAAGATAAATATTAAAGGCGGATATGTACAATTTGCACCCTTGTCGCTAAAAGTGATCTCTTACAGGCAACTTTGGATTTGGCAAATTGTGTAAGTTTTGGTGTTGCGCTTTCTTACATTCCGCTTTACTTGCAGATTTCGTATGGCTATATATTATACCCTATTGGCTGTTGTTGGTCGAGTTTTAAACCTGCTTTTGGACCATGGAATTTCTCCATACTAAAGCTTTTATTTCAGCAGTAAGCCAAAGTGCAGACACATGTCTAATTTGAATAGCTTACTGTTGAATATATTCAACTTTCTCCAATCAATTATGCTGGCATCTTAGCGAAGTTTATTGAGATCCATGTCAATAAAATTGAAAAAGAAAAGAAGTTAATGCATGAGGAAGGACAGTAATATACCCCTAGTAAGAGTATAGTATAGTATATATATATTAAAGGCTACTTTAATATTATTTATTTATTAAATTTAGAGAACAAACTAGAATTGGTTAATTTTTCCAATAAGAGAGCAACATGTTAAATTTAGTGGAAATTAAATTTGAATAAAGATACTGCAAAACTTTTAATTTAATCGTTACAAAAGACATAAAAGTCACATACAAAGCTCTTTGTCTATTATCAATTAATAGAAAGCGCAAAAAATTGTACGTCTTACTTTTTGTATATCTATTTCCACTGTCAACTCAATAATTTTTGGCATGTTGTAGCATCACATCGCCGAAAGCATTTCATTCATTTGTTACGTGCACCCGACATTATTCATCTCATTCTCAATTACTCTCCAAATTTATAATTGTTGAAGGACAATGTTTACGATGTTTTTATTTTTATGACAGAGTAAACTTTGACGCCAATAGTTTGTTGTGAGTTTCATATTAATATGTCAGAAATACTGTTCTATGATTGGATTCTTAAATCTTGATATTAATTTTCAACCAATCGTGTAAAAAAAATCAATTAAAAGTAGCCAATCGCCAGTATTCTATTTTTGTTACCATGACAACAGCCTTTTCATCAGCAGTTTTTTCAAAGTAATGTTTTGGATATTTGGAAATAATATTAAGAGTTATTTCAATTTCCTATTAAATTTAAAATACTTAAGAGTTTATGAAAACATTTTGAAACTTTTGCAAGTCAGCCAGGTATATCACAGGTTTTTGTATTTCAAGGTTTATTGACTACATTGAACCAATAATTGAATTTTTCAGGACTCCATTTTTGTAAAATTTGGCAATAATAGAAAGCGGAACGAATGGCTTATACTATAGTAAATACCTTTTAATAATGCCCAATATAACCCTTTAATAAAAGATTGGTATCTACTTACCATACCATAACTTATCTATGCTCAATTGCCCAGGTGTCAAAGTCAAACTAAAAATAGAAATAAATAGCTTGCTACATTTCTGTGGAAATAAACGAGTCGTTTGGCGCGCTTGCCTTGCTTGTTTGATTGTGTGTAATTTATTTGTAGTCTTTTATTACCGAATCTTTGATACTTAGAAGGCTATAACATTGTTCTACATACAACATACTTAATAAGTATGACTAAAGTACCATCAGTTATTCATTGGTTTAGATTAGACCTACGTATTCACGATAATCTAGCCCTCCGTAACGCAATTAATGAGGTTCGCTTTGAGATATACTGTCCATGTTAATGTTACATCTGTCCCATGATGTGTAAAGCTTGGCAACTTTTTAATCTACGTATCATTTCAGGCAGAGAATCGAAAACATCATTTAAAACCAATATATTTCCTAGATCCTGATATTAAAGATAAAATTGGAATAAACAGACTGAGATTTCTCATACAAAGTTTACAAGATTTAAACAGCAACTTGAAGAAGCTTAATTCTAGATTATATTGTATACGAGGGAATGCAATAAATTACCTACCAAAACTCTTTGAAGACTGGCAGGTTAAATTTTTAACTTGTCAAGTTGATATTGATCCAATATATGTTGAGCAAGAAGAAGTAATTGAGAAGATAGCAGAAGAAAAAGATATTTTCATTGTTAAGCGAGTACAACATACTGTATATGATTATAATAATGTATTAAAGAAAAATAATGGCAGCATACCTATGACATACCAGAAATTTCTTTCTCTGGTACAAGATGTGCCTGTGAAAGAATGTATTGAAATCACAAAACCAATATCAGATGATTGTATATCGAAAGATGGAGACTTAAAGAAATATGATGTTCCCACACTAGAGGAATTTCAAATAGATGAATCTAATTTAGAGCCATTAAAATACCCAGGTGGTGAAACTGAAGGTGTAAAGAGGTTGCATATGTATATGGGTAGAAGAGAATGGGTGTGTAAGTTTGAAAAGCCTAACTCATCTCCTAACAGTATTGAACCAAGCACAACAGTTTTAAGTCCATACATAAGCCATGGTTGTCTGTCGGCTAAGTTATTCTACCACAAACTAAAAGAAGCTGAAAATGGAATGCCTCATTCTGATCCACCGGTGTCTTTACTAGGACAACTGATGTGGAGAGAGTTCTATTACACAGCAGGAGCAGGAACTAAAAATTTTGATAAAATGGTTGGCAATCCAGTCTGTACCCAAATACCCTGGGGCAAGAATGATGAGCACTTAAAGGCATGGGCTGAAGGAAAGACGGGCTATCCATTTGTAGATGCCATCATGCGACAACTGAAACAAGAAGGCTGGATCCACCACCTAGCTCGACATATGGTGGCTTGCTTCCTTACTAGGGGTGATTTGTGGATATCCTGGGAGGAAGGTGCAAAAGTATTTGAAGGTTATTTGCTAGATTACGATTGGTCATTAAATGCTGGTAATTGGATGTGGCTCTCAGCCTCTGCATTTTTCTACAAATTCTTTAGAGTTTATAGTCCCATTGCTTTTGGTAAAAAGACTGATAAGGAAGGTTTGTACATCAGAAAGTATGTTCCTGAATTGAAAAAGTATCCCACAGCTTTTATTTATGAACCTTGGAAAGCACCCAAATCAATTCAAACTACAGCAGGTTGTGTTGTTGGTGTAGATTATCCAAAACGAATTGTAGATCATGACAAGATACACAAAGAAAACTGTACAAAGATGTCTACAGCATATAAACTTAACAAAGAAAGAAAAGCTATGAAAAGACCATTTCCCATAGATTAGGCTATATAAAAAAGAGAAGTTAAGTTACCAGTAGATTAATGAATCTCAATAGTTTTAAGAGAATGTTTTAAAATAATAATTGTGATAAATCAATCTACCTCCATTGTATATGAAATAAAAATAATATTAAATTTTTGTGAACTGTGTTAACATGTAAAAAAAAGTATTGGCAATAAACATATTTTGTGTCTATACACTATTGTTATTTTCTATTTATGTATATTCCAATACATCTATTCTCCACTGTTAATCGTGTCAACAGAAAAAGGCCTTGATGAATAGGCTTGAGGCTTTAAAACTTTGAATTTGTCTGACACTATGTTGAAGGAAATGATCCCGTGCTGCAACCCTGCCCACTCGACGATGTCTGGCTGGAGTGTCTCCACGGTGCCAAAGCCAGTAAGTACGTGGAGCCTCCAGCCTAGACGACAAGAGTCATTTCCGCATTGATATAATACTTACATAGATGAGTAATTACCGCCTAAAATCGTTGCTACTGCACATATGTCCACAGTAGTCTTGGGTAGTACACGTACGATGTACTGATAGGTACTAGTACTGGGTATTGTACTAAAAGTAATGTTTCCGAAAGGCAGCTGTTAATCGGACATTTTGCACTATTAGTACACAGTGTCAACTTCAAGCCAGTACTAAAACTATCTATTGTTTACTCTGTCTACTAGTGTCTACGTTCGTTTGCTGTGCGACGTACTATTAATGCTCCGCTTTATTGTTCCGTATCGGTCGACAGTGTGAGAGTAAAAGGGACAGCGATACAGGTGTACTACAATACGTTGGGTTGTAAAGTATGAAGGAAAATCAAATAGTATGCTTAAAAATTTAGTGTAAAGTAATCTAAAATATCGTATTTAAAAATCAAACTGTTAGGTTTTATGGGATTCAGAAAGGGATAACACATTAAAAATAATCAAGAACTGTGTAATTATTTCTATACTGAAGAAAAGTAACTGCCTAATACAAAGCCTAAATCTATATTTAAAAAAAACTATAACACTTTTTTTTAATTACGTATTTTAATTTATTTAATTATTAGTATTCCGTTTCATTAATGTTGGTAATATCAATACAAACACATTAGTTTTCTACTTCTACTAAAACCGTAACAGTACTATTAGTACTAATAGTACTATTACGGTGTGCTAGTACGTTGTACGAATTGTACTAGTACGGTGCGAACCTGCAGATGTCCGATTAAGCACAAGACTAGTCCACAGGCATATGCGTAGCAAACGTCAATTCATTATTCAATGTGGCGTCAACCGAGTTGAACATAGCGACACATGACAGTAACAATCGCCAAAATGGCTAAATGCGTAGTGAAAGAATGCGATTCAAGGTCACAAAACATTAATAAATCATGCGGAATTACTTTTCACGTGTAAGTTTATGGTTTTTGTATTGATAATATCGTAAATAAGGCTATAATTGAAATAAAATACTGATAATTGTAATTTAGAATCAGTGTTACCATTAAAAAATCATTTTGGTTTTCCCACATTAGTGGGAGAATTTATAATTTATGAAATAATATGCTTTATACTGTTTTTAAACATTTTGCCAATAATAATAAAATATAGGAAGAACGGTAGTTGTTAGGGCTGGACCGATCCCTTTTTTTAGGGACCCGTTGAACGTTCTCTGCCAGCTTGGCAGAAGTGCCAAGCTCGCAGTGCTGGAGACTTTTGTACAAAAAAATTAATTCATTGTTTTTCTTAATTTATTATCAATTTTAAATAATAATTGTACAAAATAATAATAATAAGATACAGAAGGCAGTCCTCCTTGACACGGCTCGTATAGTGAGGAGGTTTCTATCTTTGCAGTCCTAACCACTGGTGTCCTGGTACCTGTACCCGATGTCGGTGGTCTACTATTTTTTATATTTTTAAATGTATTTTTATTTCTTTTGTAATATACTTAAAAATGTAATTAATATGTATATATAAAATTTAATAAAGAGAATAATAATAAATGTTTATCATAAAAATAAAAATATAAAATAGAAAAGTAAATAAACATAAATAATTTTTTTTATAAAATAAAAAAAATTTTTTTTTTATTTGTTTTTTAAATTATAATAGAATTTGCAATACACCCTGGGGATTATTTATTATCAGTACAAGTTGATCATTCACTTTTATTATTAAATGCTATTATTTTTACATACGTAAAAATAAGAGTGTATCATGAAAGTAAAATATCCACACAAACTTATAAAAAAGAGTCTAAAAGACAATTGTATACAAAAGTGATGCTTCACAGCGCAGTTTGATATTACACTGAATATAAACCCTTTAAACCAAATATTTCCAGTTATTTTATTATTTATACCTATTCTATTCAATTCGAAATATATTATTTAGAATATTTAAATTAATTTATTTTATTACAAAATTGTTTAAAAAAAAAATTGTTTCTTAGTTGTTATGGGTAAAATTTCATACGGTAGTCAACACTGGCCCACCATCGTAAAGTTATATCTTTGTCTTTGTCTAATCCGAGCGATGGTATTGTTCTTGTCTCGCGTGTAAATGAGACATAAATATGTTTACTTTCAAATGTTTAGTGGTATCAAAGCTACGTCGTCAAAGTTCAAAAGTGGTTACACTTTTTTCGACGTGTGATAATGAGGTTTGCTTCTCTAGTGTTGTTTTAACTCAATGCATTTCCGCCTCTAAATCCTATGAGAGAGTTTCGCCACCACCTTCTGAGGGCGCTAGAGGCGCACCTTATTCTGGGTAAGGTGAATATTTTTCGTACGTATTAGAGAACGAAAGCAAAGAAGTAGTGGCAATTACGTAATAAAATTAAAGAATTGTTTATATTGTGCAAGTATACATATACTTACTAACACATTTCTTTTTAAGTTAGGCGTATATTTTTTCTTCGTTAAAAAATTCTGCGTGCGCTCCACTTTGTAACCTCGTGCCCTTAGGCACGTGCACTTTACCTTAACGAGAAGTTGAGCTTGAATATATAATTAACGTGCGAGTCAGCCTAGTGATTTGGAATGATTTTTTACAAGGAATGCTTAGGAATTAGACGTCACGGACTTACTGGTAATACCCAGTTGGAGTTACTTGTATTGTAGGCAACCCTTACCTTTTCCAACCATAGCTTACATTCCCTAATAATAATTCACCTGTATAAACAACCAGCTAGTCTTAGCGGTTTTGCTCGCGTGTTTTTTTTTACATGTTTTTAACTTTGAAAATGACGAACTTTCATACAACCGTTCATCCCTAACTTTCCAAACTGTGAACTTTCCAAAAATCATTTCTTAGTGGGTAGTCCCTCAGTCATTTTAAGTTTGTAGCCCTCGCCTCTCTGGCTTGCATTGATGAATCAATCAGTCAGGTCTAGTAGTTTTATATGTGTTTATAGATATTTATTTCCTACCATTACCTTTCCCTCTTATCTAGATAGATTCAGCGATTGGTTGACAATAGGAATCATCTTTTTCAAAAGAAAATCGGAATATTCAAAATGGATAAATTGATTATGGAGTTGCCTTCGTTAACAAAGGTTTGCATTAGATTCAACGACAATTTTATTTCAGAAAAAAACTTCGTAATAGATAGCAATGTATTGCACTGCAGTACCTACCATGGTTACCCATTTAACTTATCTGTCACAAACGACACAAAAATGACATTGACACATTTGTGTAAAATTTGGTGTTTGGTGGGTGTATTTGTTTATTACAAAACAATATTAACTTATTTTTGTGTATCAAAATGTAGACAAAAAGACAATAATTGTTCTAAGGTAAAAATGAAGTGCTGCGTGCTATTCTCTATGTTGAGAAAAAAGTGTAATCAAGTAAGTAGTATTTATTACATAGGCCCTGATTAAAATGTTTTTTTTTACTTATTTATTCAATTGTTAATAGTAACTCAAGGAAGTAAGGATATGGAACATTATTATTGCATAATCATTTATAATTTGATTTTCATCATCATCATTTTGTTCTAGTTATATTTTTATAACTGAAATAAAGCATTATTTATATAAACATTGTAGTTGTTGAGGACTTCCCTTTTTTTTCTGTGCGGAAATCCTCTCGGGTACCACCCACCGGTGGTTAAGTCGCATTCGAACCGAAAAAAAGATTTTCATTGTAAACTGAATTTCGTAATGTTTTCAAAACCTATATTATTCTATGATCATGACAATTTCATTGATTTGATTTTCTATAATATGTATGTATTTATTTGTATATAAGTATGTTTATAAACAGTCTGGTTACCATTGTACATGGGTAAGATGTGTGTGGTTCGATATTGATATTGATATGTTGGGCAAATTGAACAGCATAAACAGTGAAGATGAAATCAGACGAGTGACTATTAATTGCAAATGCTAAAGTTATCGATTAAAGAAAAAGCCTCATTAGTGATTTAAAAATTGCATATTAAAATAGGTGCTTATATTATTGTTACTAGGGGGGGTATACAATAAAGAAAAGTAGTTGGTTCATTACTTTTATAGCACTGTATTTACAAACAATTACTATTGCAAACCAGAAATCAATATATAACTTGTGCGACTAGCACCAGAAAATTGCTTTGATGTTAATTCGCTGTATAGTAAAACAATACTGTCTACAGATTTCTATAATCTTCCGATATTCGACACTAGATGGCACTGCAAGTATCGGAATTAAGAATGTGTAGTGTTCTTCGGTGCCCCACTTGAAACTAGATGGTGCTTTCCTCCAGACACAACACAAGAAACACTAAATTCTATGGCGCAATATGTTCAGTAAATCATTAAATCTACACTGAGTGCATTCTTTAAGAAACTGTATCTAATTACTTAACTGCTTCCCACCTGTACCTGGTCCGTGTGGTGACTGATTAAGAATATGGAATGTCACCACCCCTATTCATTCCGTGGGTGTCATAAGAGCCGACTAAGGAAGCAAACTTAGCAGGACAACAGCACTGCAAAGAGAAGGAAAACTTGAAACAAATCGT